TATGTATACAGTATTCTGCCTACACACCAGAAGAGGGCACCAGATCTCATTACAGATGGTTGTGAGCCACCATGTGGTTGCTGGGAACTGAACTCAGGACCTCTGGAAGAGCAGCCAGTGCTCTCAACCTCTGAGCCATCTCTGTAGCCCCCCCCCCCACGGGCTCTCTTGCAGACTTGAGTCAGGACTCTGTTTCTTCAAGAGCTTCCTATTTAAGTCAGTGAATCCAACCACAGCCCACTTTCTTGGGCTACCCAAAGGCTGACCAAGAGTGCCAAAGTTAGAAGCATCCATTGCTTCAGCTCCGGATGTAGAGGTAACAGTTTCCAACTTCCAGACTGGGAGGATGGAGATGGTGCCTGTTAATAGAGTTTAATAGTTTTTCTTTTCTTTCCTTTTTTTTTTTTCCTTGCACTGTTGGAGATTGAACTGAGGGCCTCACACATGCTAGGCAAGTGCCCTACCACTGAACTACACTGCCAACCCCATGTTTAGCCTTTATTGATTAATAAACTTTTTAATTACTTCTTTAACAATTGCATACACACATACACACACATACACCATATATATACCCCAGTGTACTTTGATTTTGATTATATTAACCCCCATTATTCCTTCTTGTCTCTCTCCCCCCTCCCACTAAACTTCCCAGCAAATCCTCCTGTGGTGGTTTTAGGAGGAGAGGAGTGTGCCCCGTTGTGATTAATTAGGATTGATGTCATGAGTCACTTACTTGGGCAGGGGCACCTTACCCAGGGCCGCACCACTGAGCAGTCTGGCTGCCCACTCCTGCCCCAGCAACATTAACTGTCACTCCTCGGGGAGGCGTGGCCCTCCCCCCCTACTCATGGTGGAGTCTTAGGGGGTCCCATCTTGTGCAGACAGCCCCCACCACGGTGGGTTCATGGATGTAGCTGGCACACTGTATCCAGAAGAACACATTCCACAGCAGTTCACCCCACCCGCCAGCTCTTCCATGTTCACTCACCCCTCATGACCCCTGACCCTTGGAGGAAGGTCAGTCTTCATTTCAGGACAGGATCTCAAGAAGTTGCCCAAGCTGACCTTAAACTTGTCATCCTCCTGCCTCAGACTCATGACTACCTGAGCTTGCAAGCTTATGCTTCTATGCCTGGCTAAAATTAAAAATTTTTATTTTATCAAAATTTTATTATGGGCTGGGCAGTAGTGGTGCACGCCTGTAATCCCAGCACTCAGGAGGCAGGCGGATCTGGCCAGCCTGGTCTACAGAGTTCGTTCCAGGACAGCCAGGGCTACAAAGAGAAACCCTGTCTCAAAAAACAACAAAATAAAGAATTATGGTCCAAGACCATGAAAATGCATTTTTGCTGTGAGCTGCTGCCCCGGGAAATGACGGAGTAGCAATATTAGACGCACGCCCCTCTGCCTCCAGTCAGGCCTGAGGGACTTCGGACCTTGGGTCTGAGAGTTTGGTATCCTGGGCTGACTGTGTGGCGTCCATTGAGGTAAGTAGACACCCGAGGCCCGTGGGCATGCTTACTGCAGCCCTGCTGACCCTGTGGACATAAGTCAGGAAAACTGGGTAAGTCATCCCGAAGGGTGTGGCATCCAATCCCCTCTAGAGTCACAGAGCTTTAAGAATCAATATAACTTCCAAGTGTTTCATGACAGGGACCTGGCCCTTCATTCCAGGATTTTCGTCTGGTGGACCTATCTAGTTGTAAGCAATTGCTTTATAGTGATAATCTGCCCCTCTCTCTCTTTGTGGTTAGCATGTAGAAGCTGTGGGGAGACCACCCTCTGGTTTAGACAAGAACAAGACACAAAGCATTTATCTTTCTTAACTTATTATT